CGGGAGCGCGCCATGTATAGAGGGGAGGAGGGGCAGAGAGGCTGCTTTTGTCTGTTCAGCAGCCTGTTGCTCAGGGGAGGGGGGAGCCTGTTGCTGGCAGGGGGGGCAGCGGGCGTGGGGAGGCACTTTTCCTCTGCCCGGCAGCTCTGCGGGACCCCAGTCGGAGCCGGCCCGAGGAGGAGGAGGATCCTAGGACCCAGGTGAGCGAGCCCCGGGAATGCTGCTGCGCATGTGCGGGAGTTGCCTCACCCCGTTCGTATCTAGGGATCCGACGTAAGTCGGATCCACGTAAGTCGGGGACTGCCTGTAGTTCTTTTTTATAGAAAGTCTCCTGCTGTGAAGACTCTTTCAGCTGCTCAGAGCGCTGGTCTCTAATTCCCAGAACCAGACAGGAGCCACGTTTGGAGATGGAGAGTGTGCGGCTGGGGATATAGCATCATCCTGCAATTCTGGGAGAGAAGGTCGTGCTGATGAGGCAGTGGGTATGGAGACTCTATCAGTAAGTGGTGAAGGTATGGAAACCAGGGTAGTCTCGACCAGGCTAGAGCTATTAAGATGATATGTGCATCATTTGTACTAATTTTGTTTAGAACCCTGGGGATGAGTGGGATCAGAGGAAAAGCATAAAGCAAAGGCGCACTCCACTCGAGTAAGAATGCGTCCCTGAGAAAGCCTTTGCTAAGATCCGCTCAAGAACAAAATTGGGGGCATTTGGCATTCTGGCAGGAAGCAAAGAGATTTCTGGGTGGCCAGCCCCACTGGGAAAAGATTGAGGATCGGTCTCCAAACCCTTGTCTTTTTCTCTGTGAGAAAGTACTTTGAATAAAACCCTGTTCCCTGGAATCATTTGGATGCCCTCTCTACGGCTCCTAAAAGCAGGAATCAATCAATCTCCTGTCTTAGTAGTTTTTCATGGGAAGGATCCCTGAAGAGGGATGGGGTAGGAGACAGGGTAGGGGGGAGGGAAATATAGGGGATGATGTATCCAGTAAGGATAATCTCCAATACCCAGTGGTCCGATGTTGTGGACTTCAAGTGTTGTAAAAAGGGGTGTACCCGATGAGTAAAAAGATGGCACAGTTGTGAAGGCATTGAATCATGAGGGAGGTCATGCAGACCCTCGACCACTGCCTCAAACCTGCTGTTTTGAGGTCTGAGTAGCAGAGGAATGGTCCTGGTTATAGCATCTCCACTGAAGTTGCTGTCTCGATCAGCTGAAATCATAAGATCTTTGTGGCGAGTGGTTGTACTGCCCATCCCTCTCACAACTGTATGTGGTTTACCGCTTGTGGCGATAAGGCAGGGTATACATGCCAAGGGTACAAAGGGTGGTTTGTAAGTCTTTCCTGCTGTGTAGCACCTCCTCAGTTTTGGCTGCAAACAGTTTCTGCTTCTTGCGTCTGGGTGTCCGGCTCCAGGGTGAGGGTCGCTGTGCTCCTGGTGTCCTCCTCCTCCTTGTCTTGGAGCTGCTGGTCCTCTGGGGTGTCATCCTGGAGCTGCGGCCGCTGCTGCACAGGGGTCTCCACCCCAGACTCTACTACCTTCTCTGGAGACAGGGTTTCCCCTGGCTCCAGGATCCAGTCCAGGTCCTCATAGTATGCACAATAGTGTGCTATTTCCCCAGAGCGGGAGCTGTACTCATGGGCCTTAACATACCTCTGCTGCAGCTCCTTCACCTTTGCTCTGACCTGGTCTAGTGTGCAGGGATGGTGTCCTTTTTTGGCAAGGCCATCAGCCATTCTACCATAAATGTCTGCATTCCTCGGACTGTGGAGCCTGAAGAGACTCCTCTTCAGACCAGAGCTCCAAGAGGGCTTTGATCTCAGGCGCACATCAGGAGGGTGCCCGGTGTTTGGTGCCCCTGGCTTGGTGCGGGGATGTGTCCCTGGAAGGACCAGGAGTGTCTCGGGGGGCTTGTCCCTGGGACATGGCTCTGTGTGGGCCTTCCAGCAAGAGCCAAGCAGTCAGGGTCCTAGCTGGAGCTGGCTTGCTGCCACAATGCTACTCCTGGGTGCCTGTGCCTTTAAAAGATAGCTACAGGCAGGAACAATAGAGGTGAAAGGTCTGACAGGAGTGTCCACCAGGGCTTCTTCCTGGAGGCCTTTATTTAAAAAAAAAAAAAACCTTCCCCATGTCCACACATACCTTTTTTCAACAGATCTCTGTCAAAAATAGCGTTATTCCTCGTAAAACGAGGTTTACCACTGTCAACAAAACCGCAGCATTCTTTCGATTTACTGTTGACAGAACGCGGTGGCAGTCTAGACGTAAGTAAAGATTTTTCGAAAAAAGGCTACTTTTTTCAAAAAAATCCCTGTAGTCTAGACACACCCTAACAATGGAGCACCCATGGGGACATTTCTCAAAGAAGAACATACAGTTTCAAAGAAAAATAACAAAACAGGGAATACAAAAGTGATTTTTTTATCCCTGCTGATTCTTTGTAGTTTTGTTACTCACGGCAAATCTTCCAATCTGGAGGCTTCATGTCTTGGGTCCAACAGATCATAACCACATTCATTGTAGATTTCCAAGTAGGAAACATGGGTTGTATAAACGTTGCTGCTGTCCTGAATAGAAAATAAAATAAAAAGGGACTATGAATAGCAGCCAAAGCCTTAGGTCAGCTGGATAAATTTATCACTACAGCTTCCATGATGCCTCCTCACCCTGTCTCTCATTCTTTTGCAGGATATGTTTTACATTTTCAGTTCATGACACTTTCAAGTCTGCCCACTGGCATATGCATGAAGACTACGCCCATGATTAGAAGCAAGTTTAGTCTGCTTTTTTATTGGTTCCATATATTTAAAAAAGTCTGTGTACACTTAGAATGCGGCAACTTGGTTGCAGAAGTATGTAGTATACCATTTTTCACTTTTCTGACAAAACAAGCATGTTACTATAAAAAGGTACTTCTAAATATTATAGATAGAGGTATGATCCTTAAAATATATTGAATATTTACTTCATTTTAGAAATTCCAGTGGCACACTGCTTTCCATGTTCTTTATCAAAATATCTAAACACAGCAAATGTTGTTAGCTATCCTTTGTAGCCCTACTTTCTTCCTGTATTCTGTATTGCCAGAATGCAATATAACCCAACCAGTTTCTACAGAGTTATCTCTTTCCCCAAAGCCAAATAATACAAATCTCAAAATAACGAACTACAATTTCCAAAGTATAAGTGAATTAATTTATTTAATTGGATGAAGTCACTGAGAAAGCACTCATCACACTTACAGCAGCAGTTTTCTAATCCAGTGTGCTAATCTGTCACTATACTTATAAACAATTTTCCTATGGGATGACAGAGTGACATCATCATGTCATCGGTGTCACCCCCCAGCCCATGTTTAACTCCAGACTAGCCACTCTGGGCAGCTCCTCTGGGCCTTCCATTTCTCCCGCATGGGGGGGGGGGGGGGGGGGGAGTGTCAATTTAGGGCACCACCAGCTCCTGCTCCCACCCTTGGTCCCAGCTGCCTTCTGCCCTGACCAGCCTCTTCATCTACAGCCTCTCCTCACACAGCGCCACGTTTCCATCGCTGCTGGCTGGCTGGGCCTACCCCCTGATCCTATCTGCCTTTTATGCTGACCGGCCTCTTCCCCCACAGCTCTACCAGCTGAAGTCCCTCCTCGCACCATGCTTCCTTTGCCACCAGCCATCCCAAGCCATGATCGTGCACCCCCCCAGCCTCCTCACTCACTGCCCTATGAGATTTTACACCCCCCAGCCTCCTCACATAGCCCCTCCCCTGAGACTCTGCACCTCAAACCCACTCCTGCACCCTCACCCCCCCCCCCAGCCAGACACCTACCCACACCCTGCTACTGCACCCTCCCTTGCTCCTGCACCTCCCCTCTGGCCAGATACCATACCCCTAACCTGCTCCTCCACCCTTCCTCGCTTCTGCACCCTCCTGCCTGGCCAGAAACCCTACCCCCAGCCTATTCCTGCACCCCACCTCCCACCCTAATTCTGCACCCACATACCTATCCCACTCACTGGCAGCCCTGTTCCACACACTGAACCCCTCAATTTTGGCCTCATCCCAGAACCTGGCAGGGGGGCACAAAATCCACTAACCTTGGAATCCCAGAAGAGTTAAACTGACCTGAGACCTTGAAGCTAAGTCCTCCCTGCCCTCCCCCATGGGGCTGGAGCACCAGGGGAGTGAGGTGTTTCATTTGGGGGCTACATCAGTGATGATTAGAGGGTTTTGGAGGAGCTTTTTTTTCTTCTCACTTGTGTGATTTTTTTTCTGTGGATCAGTGGCCCCTGAACCAATAAAGGTTCCCCATCCCTGCCATAAACAAAGACAATGTTGCAAACTTTTTTGTTGGATATAATATTTACTTTATTTAAAATGAAGCCTGACCAACAAGGCCCCAATCAGGGCCTAGCCCCATCTGGACGCAGTGTCCAGCCACATGGTCCAGCCCCCATCTGGCCATAGGAAGGGCTCATGGTGGCTCTCCTCCTGCTGTAGCGTGGGCAGGAAGGGAAGCCATGATCCGGCTGTGGCAGATGGGGGGGAAGTTGGTGAGTGTAGCAAGCAGGCGGTACAGGCCCTTGTTTTATTTAAAAGGTTATCTTGAAATACAAACCATTTATTATCATGGAATAAAATACTTTCAGGGTGAGATTTTTATTGACCATGACAGAAGAGTGTTTCAGAGTAGATGGGTAGATGAAAAAAAAAGATCTGTATTATGGAACTGTTAAACCACAGCACTATGTAGATGGCAAGGGGAATTTCTGAACAGTGAGAGCTCAATTTTCTACTCTATTCATAAGGAGCCTTTTGTGCCGCTATGAGCGTGAGCTGCCCACAGGCCAATTGCTGTAAAATTCAGTACAAAGTCACTCGGCTCTATCATACTCCTTTGCTTTCTTAGGCCAAAAGTGAGAAGGGGTGCTGCTGGCTTAGGAAGTAGTTATGGCACTTCTTCCAGCTTTAAAGCAACAGAAGATTCTTCTACAAAGGATGAATTCCTCTAATCATCTGTAGATATTTTAAGGCAATTTGGGACCATTTATATATTGCAAATGCTCTTCGCACACTGGCAAATCTGGTCTTGAATGATTAAAATGGTCCTAGCTTTGTCTTTCCATTTTATTTTTTAAAATAGATACATTTTAAAGATAAATGAATACATCTTGTTGGGATTGCAGATTAGAAAAAGTAATTTCTCCTAAGAGAAGTAATTTGTATTGTGGAAAGAATTGATAAACAGATGTCACTTTTTGTGGATGGTATCAGAGGGGTAGCCGTGTTAGTCTGAATCTTGCAAAAGCGGCAAGGAGTCCTGTGGCACCTTATAGAATAACTAAAGTGTTGGGGCATAAGCTTTCGTGGGCAAAGACCCACATCGTCAGATGCATGTAGTGGAAATTTCCAGAGGCAGGTATAAATATACAGGCCAGACTCAGGCTAGAGATGACAAGGTGGATCCAATCAGGGAGGATGAGGCCCACTTCTAATAGCTGATCTGGAGGTGTGAATTCCAAGAGAGGAGAAGCTGCTTTTGTAGTTAGCAAGCCATTCACAGTCTTTATGTAATCCACTTTTTGTGGATGTCACTCAGCTTCCTCCAGCATTCTGTGAAAAACCCTTTTTGTCAGTTAAATGCCCACAGAGGGTATGTCTAGAGTACATGGCTCCGTCGACGGAGTCACATAAATAATCGCCGTTTCATTTACATCAAAATGGCCACCGTGCTGTGCCGATTAGCAGTGGTGGCACAGCGGGGCAGTCTGGATGCGCTGCGGTCGACAAGGGAAGCCTTTGTTGACCGCTCCGGTAAACCTCATTTCACCAGACATAACGGAGCAGTCAACAAAGGCTTCCCTTGTTGACCGCAGTGCATCCAGACTGCCCCGCTGTGCTGCCAAACAGCGGGTCAGCACAGCGCGGCAGCCATTTTGATGTAAATGAAGCAGGGATTATTTAAATAGCTACACGCGGCACGGACTAGGTAGTTCGAATTAAAGCTCCTAATTCGAACTACCGTTACTCCTCATTGCAGGAGCTTTAATTACTCCTCGAATTAGGAGCTTTAATTCGAACTACCTAGTCCGTGCTGCATGTAGCCGCGGGCAGGTAGTTTGAACTACGGGGCATTAAAAAATGGCGGCGCCCGGGAACCTGCAAATAAAGCCCGGGGTATTTAAATCCCGGGCTTCATTTGCAAGTTCGAATGCCTACATTAGCCACCTTAGTTCGAATTAGGGTGGCAGTGTAGACATACCCTGAGATCCGAGTACATGAGAGAAGAGACAAGTATGGAAAGATGAAAGCAGGAAGAAAGAAGAAGAAAGAAGGGAGGAAAGTAAAACATTCACAAAACGTAAAAGTGTCCAGTATGAGACAAGAGAGGGAACAGTGTCCCTAAATGTATGGCTAGTTAATATTACAAAATGCTAGACACTTTAAGTGCCAAAAAAAGTCTGAAAATCAAATGTTTCTGCATGCACTCTTGATAGAAATAATTATGAAATTACTACAGATCAGATGGCTCCTTCAACCCACATTATTATTTAATCAGCATTGTACCATACCTCATCTCAAGGATTTATTATTTCTAGGGGCTTCACCTTATACACACTTACTCATGTAGGTATTCATGTAACTAAAATCTATTCGTATCAATAAGGACTGGAAGGTTACAGCTCTAAATTAGACAAGTAATATAGTACAAACCTATAATGTAATGGCTGAGCAGATGATAACCAGAACACAAAAGTAAGCTGGTTGATCAACTTATCTATTTTCACATATATTTCATTTTCACAATTTAACAAAGTAGAAACATTAAAGAAATAATGTATAATTCAGTCATGTACTTTGTGGAACAAGAGGGACAACGAACACATGCGGTCAGACAAACAATACACTACTTTTTCTTTTGTTTTCTTGGCTTTGCCTGATATAGTTGATAGAGTAGCAGAATGATTTATACTGTTTCCAAATTACAACATGTAAACAAAATTTTATTTCTCTTTTGGTGAACATTGATATTAAATTGCCAAGATTATTTCATTTATTTTCCTCTTGCAAAGATGTAATGAATTGACTATCAATGTCACTCTGTCACAACCTCTTAGAAAATTGACAATAATAATTACTGCCTCACTGATTTTGCTTTTGTCTGATGGGAAATTAGATCATTTTACTGTATTTTGGTTGAAGTGAAAACTAAATGTTAGCAGAAGTTCTTACACTTTTGATGTCAAGGACCAGTTCATAAGATCCTTCAATGGACTCCCCCAATCCTCCATTTTTTCCATGTTAACAGTTCTTGGTTCTCAATCTTTCTGGCCTATGTGTGTCACCAAAAACAATTCCTACTTAAGAGTCACTGACCTAAAAATAATGTCAATATAAAATTAAAAGAATACCTGTTGTTTACTGGTAGAATAAATAATTTTAATTTCTTGATTAAACTACATAATAGCCTTTCCAACTAAATTATTTTATTTAAGAAAGGAGGATAAAAAAGCAAGTTTTAGACCATTTGAGATTCTTCTATGCTATTTAATGAAGTGCACAGGTGTTGGAACCAATGTTTCCTCTATTTTTTGCTATTCATATGCTGAATACATTTTCTTATGTGCACTGAGGCATGTGTGGATGTGCAACATCAGTAGAAACACATGCTGCTGGAAGTGGGCACTCTGCTGAGTGGCATCTGAATCTCTCCTGGCTGTCTACCAAAGCACACAGCTTAAGGGAACACTAATATCTTTTTTTAAGGAGAAAAAATGCACCCAGATGAATAAGCTCCATACAATGTCCACTGCAACAGTGGCCATCCTGTGTGAGAGAGGGAGGGACAGGCTGAACAGTCATGCAGGGTGGGAAAAGTACTGTAATTTTTGCTTGTCACACCGTGGGGCTTTATGGCAGGTCCAAGTGGGCCAGCACAAAAGGGACTGTCATGGGAGAAGATACTGAATCACTATTTATGGGGTTACATGGGTACAAAACTCATCTTACACTGGATAATAGCTATGGAGGGGGACACACTAAAACTCCACAGCAAGCCTGCAAATTGGAGAATTTGGCCCACTAGCAGGATCTTGGAATCTATTCCCACCCACACATGCTTAGTTACCTGGAAAAAGTCATGCTTTATGAAAAGTGGTGTGAATTTCACACTCAAAAAATGAGGAAGTCCCCTTCAGAACTGTCATATGGAGTGATAGGAGCTTCAGGGGATAACCGAGTTAGTCTGTTAGGGTACGTCTACACTAGCCCCCTAGTTTGAACTAGGGAGGCTAATGAGGGTGATCAAAATTGCTAATGAAGCGTGGGATTTAAATATCCTGCACTTGATGAGCATATTCCCTGCCGGTCGCCATTTTGGAAACTGACTAGCCCGAAGTAACTGCCCGCGTCTACACACAGCAGAGAAGTAGGATTCCAAGATAAACCCCTTAGTTCGAATTAACTGTTACTTCTCATGGTGAGTGTGGACAGAGAGGCCACCAGGGCAGCTGTGAGAATCCCTGGAGGCCAATTATTTCAAAATAATCACAGCTGCTCTGTCTATACACACCTATTTCAAAATAACTATTTCAAAGTAGGTGTTATTCCTCATGAAATGAGGGTTACAGATTTTAGAATAAGAAGCCCATTATTTTGAAAATATTTTGAAATAACAGGCTTGCTGTGTAGATGTTCACTTTGTTATTTTGAAATAATGTAAGTTATTTCAAAATAATGCTGCAGTGTGGATGTGCCCCTAGGAGTTAAAATTAACTTTAAAATGGCCTCTTTAAAAAAATGTAGACATGCTGTCAGCCTTGGTTGTTGTTATCCTGAATGAACTTAACAACAGAATAACGCGGATGCGCCAAACCTCCCATATAGTTTAAATTCACATAAATCTAGTACATACACTGCAATGAATTATTTTTAACTATGGCCAGATGAATAGTCCTGCTGTTCTTCATAAATGACCATTTCTTCTTCAGAAGAGGATGAAGAATAATGCTCCTTTACACAGAATTCCACAAGAACTGTGCACATGCATGTGCAGGGGAATGCTAGAAGTGAAGGAGGCAGGGGAAAACTAGGGTATATGTTCCAGCTGCTTTGTGATGCACTAGCCAAAACACAGCAGCTGTAAACCCAGCTGGACTGGCAAATATATTGTTGCTGCCAAGCACTGCTCCCTCATGCATAAATAGCCAAGCATACTGGTGAAACTGGCTATAAAATTAATTTTTAAAAATTATTAAAGATTAGTATTTCAAATCTTAAAATCATTGAAAATATCACACAGAAGCATTTTTTTGTTTGTTTCTTGTTTAGTGATCATATATGATATTTTTTTAATTTAGAAATTTAGAAAATGTACATTTCCAGAAAATGCTACATTAAAATTGTAACAGTTGAAAGTACATATCATTTAAAAACTACATTGACTTTGATTGTAAACACCTAAGGGTGTGGGCTGCCCTTGTGTTATGTTCATAAAGAGCCTGATAGATACAGGGTCTGCTACTTGACTGAGGACACTAGCTGATATCACAATAAAAAAATCATACAAATAATTTATTCTGACACATTACATAGATGTCTACTTAATCCTCAAAATTACTATAAACTCAGGAAATTCAGGTAAGGTTACATTTAAAAGAAATCCAAACAGAAATGCACTGTCAGGGCATTCAAATAACCTTAACTTCACTCTGTAATGACACCATGCAAAACCATATGATGAATAATTGCAGATTTTATTATAATGATTTTTAAAAACATATTAGATTGCTTCTTTTTCTTCCTCTATGTTGTCACTATATGGCTAAGATAATGTTGCTTGGATAGCCTAACCACTTTCCAATACTTAGACATGGCTAGATTTCTTTCAAATTTAACTTTAACTCTGAATTAACCAGATTTCTAAGCACTAGGATTTCAAATAACAACAAACATTTCTGTAATGTATTTTACCTTGACTATTTAATACGTGCTTTCAGATGTAACTGCATCTTAATGTAGTTTTTGTCTGATAATTATTATTAGGGTCAGCCTTTGCTTAAAAAAACCTCAGAAATGAAATAACAGGTAAAGTTAGAAAAAGAGTAGATTAGAAGTTGTGGATCAGAAAGAGACTCCAAAGAAAGGGCACAGGAAAGATATTGAGAAATTGTGTAAACCACTTATTATTTAATACTAACCACTTTTCTCTCAGGCTTTGTCTACACTTCAAGGTTTTTGCAGCAGAGAGTATCCTAATGACAGAGTCATTAGCATGTGTTGCGATGTCATTCGCATATTTTCTGCCAATGCTTTTTGTGCAAGGAGTTTTTCTCCCGAGGCAGAAGGATCTTGCACAAAAGGGGGGTTTTGCACAAAACGGAAGTGGCAATGCAAAAAGCATTGGCAGAAAATATGTGAATGACATCGTGACTCATGCTAATGAGTCTGTTATTAGCATACTCTCTGCCGCAAAAACGTGTAGTGTGGACATAGTTTAACACTATAGACAAATTCATAGCCTCTAGACACAGAGAACTTCCACAAGTTTCAATAGAAGTGCTACATATGAAACATCTGCAAAACTGGTCTTATGAATATAATTTACTACCTATGAAAGTTTTCTAGAGACCACTTTTAACTAGTTTTTTAGGTTTAGATACCTTTTAAAGTATATCTAAAGACAGTATTAAGTTAAATATGTAACAGATGACATACAAGCACATCATAAGAAGAATGCATTATAGACAAAAAAATTAATCACATCTTTTTACTATTTACAGCTGTACTTGTCCATGTGGCACACATGTGTAGCTATGCTGAGAAACTTGCATAATGTCTGCCCACTTTGTGCCATACTTCAGTCAGGGTGCATCTAGACAGCACCCTTCTGTCGGAATAAGCTTTGCAATTTGACCTACGCAGATTGCATATCTGATTCCGAGTCTATGTCGAAAAAGCTTATTTTGAAATTTGGCACTGTGTAGGCAGTGCCAAATTTCAAACTAAGGCACTACTACAATAAATCCCTAACCCTCGTGGAACAAGGGTTACAGGGATACTGGAATAGAGTGCCCACTATTTCGGGAAATAGCATGAATATTTAAAGATGCAGTGTTGCTATTTCGGGATACTTCGTATCCCGAAAATGTGCCACAGTCTAGATGTACCTCAGTGAATGAGCATGTATAAATATATTACATACATTCTTAGAATGAAAGAAGAGGTACACATACAGAAAGATTATTTTGGTTTGGATGTCTTGGCTTTTAAAAAATTAAACTGGCTGAGATATTGAAATTTAAAACTATTTTCCCATAATATTTTATTAAATAGTTGTGATTATGGATCTGTGATATTTAATTGATCATAGTAAGCTCCTACCATGCAATTAACATGGATTAAGACAATCTAATAAAAAAATTCTGTTAAGTAAGTAACCTGACTTTTAAACACATTTACTAAAGTTTATCTAGAAAATGAAGTTGTATTATGAATTTGACAAATATTGCATGATGAGGAGGTTATTCACCTCGCTAGTAACTGGCATTCTCCGAGAGATGTCCCCGTGGGTGTTCCACATTAGATTTGTGCACTGCCGCCGAGCCTCAGAGCAGAAATTTCATAGCAGTGTCCCTGGGGCCACGCACGCACGCATCAGCAGCTGTGCACTGTTAGGCTGCAGGCATCAGCATGCGTGAGCCTCCTCCCGCTCCACTCCCCCACTCCTCAATTCCTTCTCTCCCCCGAAATGATGGCTTGGGAAGGCCAGGATCCCGAAGCAGAAGAGAGGAAGGGAGGGTTGTGGCACACCCATGGGGAGACTCATCTCGAAGAAGAGGAAGTTACTCACCCTGTGCAATAATGACATTTCTTCGAGGTGTGTGTCCCCATAGGTGCTCCACTTCAGGTGTCAGGCCCTGTCCCAGCACCGCAGATCGGAGAGTTATTAGCCGTGGTTCGGCCGGCCCACGCACGCACGGGATGCGTGTTGTTCACGCACTTCTGAGCATGCGCGGTATCCAGCTCCTGCCAGTTCCTCCTAATCGGATCATTCCTGAAAAACATAGCAGGAAACTCCGAAGAGGGGAGAAGGGCGGGTCGTGGAGCACCTACGGGAAACACACCTCAAAGAAACGTCATTACTGCACAGGGTGAGTAACTTCCTCTTCTTCTTCGGGTAGTGTCCCTGTAGGTGCTCCACTTCAGATGAATTCAGAGCAGTAGCTGTGCATATGGAGGTGGGATTGGAGTTACTGCTTTCTTGCTGTGGATAGTACAGCAGAGGCTACTGCAGAGTCTCGAGCAATTGCATCGATAGTGTAATGCTTAGCAAATGTCACGTCTGATGACCATTTGGCCGTACGACGAATGTCCTGCATCAGAACGCCCTAAGGAACGCGAGCGATGATGCTGTTGCTCTAGTCGAGTGGGCTGCGAGTGAGCTTGGAGTAGGCTTGTTTCTTTAATTATAGCACTTTGTAATGCAGTTCACAATTAATTTGGAAATGCATTGTGACGACAGTGATTGTCCCTTTGTTCTTTCGTCGGAACACAAAAGGAGGCATTGCGTCTGATGGAAAGGACGAGTCCTTTCTAAGTAAAAAGCCAACACCCTGCGGACATCGAGTGCGTGCAAGTGGGCCTCGTGGGACAATGGGTGTGGCTTGGGGCAGAATATGGGGAGTATGATCAGCTCATTAATGTGGAACTCAGTAAAAATGATGGGTGAGGCCGAAGGATTACTCCCGTGTTTGTAAATAGTGTGTATGGAGGGTTGGCAGAGAGTGTTGCCAGCTCTCCTACCCTTTGGGCCGAAGTTATGGCCAAGAGAAAGGCCAGTTTCATGGTAAGTAATTTTATGTCACAGGTAGCTGAGGGTATGAAGGGTGAGTAAGTAAGCATACTGAGTACAAGTTCCAAGTCCCAAAGTGCAGTAAGTGTCCTGTGTGGAGGATGTAGATTTTCCAGTCCTTTCAGGAAGCGTTTTACAAGTGGGTGAGACATTACTGATAATCCTTCTGTGGTTTTCTAAGCGCAGAGATTGCTAAGAGGTGCACTTTAATCAAGGAGACTGCCAGCCCCGTGTGATGTAGGTGCAGTGAGTAATCCAAGATGCGGTGGATCGGAATGGACTCTGCGTCACAATGACTGTCTACATACCAAGCATGGAATCGACGCCATTTGTAAAGGTAAGTTCTGCGGGTGGAGTCCCGCCTGCTATAGAGCAGGATATGCCTGACCTCTTGAGAGCAGAGGACCTCTGTACTGTGGAACCATTTAGGAACCACGCAGTGAGGTGCAACCTGTCGATCTGTGCCTGTGGAATCGAAAAATCGGGTTGTGTGAGTAGATTGGGTTATTTCGGTAGATAGTATGTGGCTTGTATGGACATTTGTAGCAGCATAGGAAGCCATGTTTGTCTGGGCCAGAACGGTGCTATAAGTATCACTATAGCTCGAGCAAGGGTAATCTTCTCCAACACTTTCGGTACAAGCGGAATTGGGGGAAAGACAAAGAAAAGGTGATGACCTCAGTTCAGAAGGAATGCATCCCTGAGGGAACCTGGTCCCAAGCCTACTCTGGAACAATACTGTGGACATTTCTTGTTCCAATGTGTTGCAAAGAGGTCTATAGTGGAGCGTCCCCACTGTTGGAATATGCATTGAATTAATTCCTGGTCGATCTCCCACTCACGTTGGGGAAAGACATGTCTGTTCAGAGCATCTGCAAGTGTATTCTGTTTGCCTGAAAGATATATGCTGATAATGGTGATACTGTGGGTTATACACCAATTCCACAGTTTTATGGCCTCTGCACGCAGGGATCTGGAACGCGCTCCGCCTTGGCGGTTGATATAATACATTGTGGTGGTATTGTCAGTAAGTATTTGAGCTGTTTGTCCTCAAATCCGTGTGAGGAAGGCTTTGCAGGTATTGAATACTGCCCGGAGTTCCAGTAGGTTGATGTGCTGGAGAGATTCCTGTGTGCTCCATTGGTCTTGAGCAAATTCGCCCTCGCAATGTGCTCTACAACCTATGAGACACATCTGATGTAATCTGCACCGTCAGCTGAGGATGGTGGAAAGGGACCCCGGTGAGCAAGTTGACCGGTAACATCCATCACTTGAGAGGTCGCTTGACTGTCAGCGGAACCTGGACCAGTCTGTGGGTGTCCTGGTTGCCTGGGCAGTACACCAAAGCCAACCACTGTTGCAAGGGCCTGAGACGTAGCCTTGCATGTCATACTATGTAAGTGGTGGAGGCCATGTGCCCCAGCAGTTGAAGACAAGCAATTATCGGGACCTTCGGGCTGATTGTAAGAGTTTGAATAAGAGTCCGTATCCTGTGGAATCGCTGTACGGGCAGATAGGCTTTGGCCATGATAGAATCTAACTGTGCACCAATGAACACGAGCTATCTTAGAGGTGTGAGCGACCACTTTGTCAGATTGAGGACGAGTCCTAAGTCTGCAAACAACATCTTTGTTAGCTCGGTTGCACGGATTGTGCTTTGATGAGGCAATCATCCAAATACAGGAAGATCATTATACCATGTCGGTGTAGATATACGGCCACTACCGACAGGGTCTTGGAGAAGACCCTTGGTGCTGAGGACAGTCTGAATGGGGGGACTTTGTACTGAAAATGTTGTGTGCCTGTGACAAACCTGAGAGAACGTCTGTGGGCTGGATGGATTGTGACATGAAAATAGGTGTCTTGTAGATCAAAGTATGTGAACCAATCCCCTGTAGTTAGTGCTGGAAGTATGGAAACGAGGGTCACCATTTTGAACTTCTGTTTCCTTAGATATCTGTTGAGGTTGCGCAGATCGAGGATGGGTCTCCATCCACCCGACTTCTTTTCCATGAGAAAGTATCTGGAGTAGAACCCCTTGCCTTGAAACTGGTCGGGTACCCTCTCTACCATCCCTATCTCCATAAGTCTCTCGACTTCTCGCATTAGAAGACTGTCATGAGATGGGTCCCTGAAAAGGGACGGGTTTGAGAGGGTGGTAGGGGGGAGAGAGAGGAGGGGTATGGAGTATCCTGATGCTACTATTTCTAGTACCCATTCGTCTGTGGTAATGGATGCCCATCTGCGCTGAAAAGGTCTGAGATGATGGGGAAACAGTTTGTGCACTTCCGGAGGGTAGGTACGGGGGATGTTGCACAGTCCCTCGATCTGGCCGTCAAACCTGCTGCTGGTTGTTCTGGGGGTTAGAACCCCTGTTAGACGGCACCCTGCGTTTTTGAGGGTGAGGTCTGCCTCTTTGCTGTTGTTGCTGGTCCTGTTGTCTGTATCTGGGACCAGTGTAAGAGAAGGGTCTTTGTCTAAAGTAAGGCGTGTAACGTCTATGGCAATATGGGGGCATATACATCCCTCAGGTCCTTAACGTTGTCCTGGAGTCTTTCCCGGAGTGTAGGACTTGGTCAGTCTTCTCGGCAAATAGGCTCTGCCTGTTGAAGGGTAAGTCCTCCACTTTGCCCTGCAAGTCCTTGGGGACTGAGGCTAATGGCAGCCATGACGATCTCCTCATAATGATTGATGTCAGTGTGGCATGTGCGGCTGCGTCAGCAATGTCCAGGGCAATTTGCAGGGCTGTTGTTGAGGCTACGTAGCCCTCCTGTATCACAGACTTCATCAATTGTCGCGTGTCATCAGGTAAATGTTGTAGAGCCATTACCACTTTAGCAAGTTATCAAAGCTGTGGTTCGATAGGTGTGCCACTTAATTCGCCCTCCTAAGGATAAGGGTGGCAGAAGAATAAACATTTCTCCCAAAGAGATTAAGGCATTTGGCTTCCTTGTCTGTGGCTGCATTTCTATGCTGGGGTATTTTGGTTTTTTGTTATGCAGCGTCAACAACCAGTGAGTTTGGCTGGAGATGGGTGAATAGGAATTCCGTACCTTTTGGAGGAACAAAATACTTTTTGTCAAACTTCTTATGGGTGGGTTGCACAGATGCGGGCATCTGCCAAATGTCATCGGCAATCTCTAAAATTGCCTCATCAAAAGGCAAGGCCATTTTGGCTTTCTGGGACCAGTGTAGATTCTTGAGGAGATGATGCTGTTTTTGTTGGACTTCAGTAAGATGTAGATCCTGTGATTCTGCCACCCTCTTGAAGAGGTCGTGAAACTGACGGATATCGTCAGTGGGGGAAGAATCATCCAGAAAGACCACATCATTGGGTGATGACAAGGACATATCTGTTGGGGAACTAGCTTGCGGTTGGAACTGTTCCAAAATTGGTACTTTTGGTGGTTCTGGTTGAGCTGGAGTGATCAGGACATCTCCCAATGGCGGGGTGGACGCACCGGATCAGGTGGCGGTATTGGCAGTCTGGATCTACTGCAGGATCGGGAGTAATAATGGCGTGGGGACCTGGAGGATGAATGGTCCAATGAGAAGCATCGATGGTAATGGGGCTGATGGCAGCACTCATGGTAGTGATGTCTGGAAGAGTATCTTCGTGAACATGATCTTCTGTATTTGTAACGGTGTCTCGAATAAGATGATCTCGTAAGCGACCTGGAAGAGCAAGATCGATGAAAGGCGTAGGACGGTGATCCCGAATCCCTGTTATATCTATGAGGTAATATCAAGTGCCGCAGTGAACGTCCACAATGAGAGACAGTAGTAATGTGGGATTCCTGATGCAACGGCACAGAAAAGACCGAAGCTGGAGACTGCAGATGGGTAAGCATCTCCGGTGGTTCAGGGCTAAGTGATGGCGTTCTTATGCGCTTTGCCTTTCCTGTAGCCTTTCTGCGCACTGGGGAAGGACTTGAGCTCTGGTGGGAGATACTTGGCACCGATATGCTGTGATCAGATGGAGTGGAAGATCTGCTACGCGACGGTCCCAGTGGTGATGGAGTTGGCCAGTATGAAGGGTACTCTCTGCGTACGCGCCGTGTTGGGGCCGCCGGTGCTGCAGATGAAGAAGAGGGAGACGGTGCCAGTAGTGCCACAGAAGCAGACAGTGCCATAGGACCATGCGGTGCCGTCAGCGTTGATGTGGGGGGGAGAGTCTGAGCCAGCATTCATGGTGCCGTGGCTGCCGGCGCCTGCGGTTGCTGTAGCAGTCAATGCCGATATGGGCACCAGTCTCGGAATGTCTGAAACAGGTCCAGAAACTGGTATCTGTAGATTGTCTTTCAATGGAGCCGGGGCCGACTCAGGTTTTAGAGATACAGCCGCAGAAGACTGTTCCCTGTGGCGGGAAGGGCTAGGCTCCGAGGTGCACTGGCTCTTATGCCGCTCCCCGTGTCTGGATGGCCACGCGCCAGAGGTCCCTGGTCTGTCATCAACGCTCCGGCGCGAAGTAGAGGATTGGGAAGAACATT